TGAAAAATCTCAGTAAAAATCCAAATTTAATGGTTTTCATGTCTGTGCAGGTCTTGATAACATCCATGAGTTGACACGTTTTCGATCCTATCATCTGATGGTCGAGATGGAGGACTTTGAAGGAAACAAATCCTTTGCCTTTTACTATATATTTGATGTCGAATCGGAGACTAAGGGTTACCTCCTGAGTGTGGATAATTTCAACAACAATGGGGGCGCTGGTGAGTCATGAGAAAAAACACATTTTCTACCGTTACTAGTCAGGATGAATTTATGGATGGAATGATGCCCATCACTAATTATTTCTTTGTAAAATAAATAATTCAACTTGTGCTGGGTCTGAAAGTCGAGCAGTGAGTCTGGAAATGTAGAGCAAGGCACTGAGCATGGATCCCTGAGGTACTCATGGTAAATAATAATAATAGTAATAATAATAATTAAAAAAGCTAATTTACTGTAGCTAGACCATTCAGGATTAAGAGAAATAGACCTTGATTGGATTAAATGTGTTGTGTCAGTTATATCTAAATCCAGAGTTTGTTCTTATGGTTCTGAAGCAGGAAGATTGATGTTGGTAGTTAACAGCACAAAGTAAATTTAATTGATCTCATTGATAATATCCCAGTAAGAAATTAACATAACTCATTATTTATTTCACAAAACATTATCAGCTTTTCACAAAGTCAGCATTTTTGTTATATAGTAAATTACATTTTCATTTCTGTCGGATCACGCAGATTTTTTTTTTCACTATTTAAGCTTTCACTGAATGTCTGTTTTATTCATATAGTTTTTGTATCCTATTGTTATTTCTGCAGGAGACAGCCTTACACATCACAATGGAATGAAATTTACCACCTTTGACAAAGACCAGGACCAATCGGCCGACAACTGTGCCAAAAAATTTCTCGGTGCTTTCTGGTACAGATCTTGTCACCAGGCAAACCCCAACGGGATTTATCGCTGGGGGGCTGACACACACACCCTGGTGTTGGAGTGGAATGGCTTCAATGGAAGGGAAATAATTACTCCCTGAAGAGCATCAGCATGAAGATCGGTCGTCTCATGTAAATCTGCAGGTCAAACATCCAGCAAAAAATAATGAGTTGCTTCTTCTTATAATCAACCATCAACTTTTGGCTTCAAACATGAGTTAAAAGTTCACTTGATTACTAATCAATATAATCCAGTTGATTGTGCTTTAAATCTTTGATGAGAGTTTGCTACCTGTAATCAATTTATCTCTGATAATAAATAAGATGCCAGCAGCAATATTTGTGTGTCTGGATTGTTTTATAAGTAAAATTAAAATAAGCCAGTTTTAAAACAGAAATTGGGCCAAATGGAAACATTTTTAGAATCAAATCTCTTGGTTAAATGCAATTAATTGAAATTAATTGTGTTATTATATGAAGTGAAAGATTCACTGAATGCTGAAGCGTATGGTATTACACAGTTCACTGTTTGTTCCTTTTCTGACCCATAATGCAGATGTTTGGGGAAATGCCTATAATGCAGATTCAAATTCTATTTTTATTTTTTCAAATTATAGAAATTAAAAGCAGAAAATGCTGCAGAGCTCCAACAAATTCATTGTGCTTCAACTTACAATTAATATTTATTGGTGGACTATATCCAAAGTAATGAAATGAGTAGTTTGAATGTCATTATAAACTCCAGGTGATAATCTGAAAAGAAAAAAGTAATTTGGTTAAATGACTTTTAAGTTTCGATTATCAACAGCCATTTGAAACATATAATTGAACCAAAGCTCCAGTTTATGTTCATTTTTGAGTATTTCACAATGAAGCTGCAAAGGTCTGGAAGAATTTTTTACCTTTCAGTGCAAATATAAACTTTAAATGTTCTTAACTTTCATTGCAACTGGAAAGTTTTTGCAGCATAAATGTTGTATATCTGAATATTTAAGATAAAACAATAGGAACAGTTTTAAAGCCTGCAACCATGTATATCAAATATATATGACTGATATATATAGTACAACCATTATCTAGGAAACTTGACACCTCGTAACTGACATTGGAAAAAAGAATTGAATGAACAGATTCACCAAGCGGTGACTTGCTTAGTGAAAGTCGCAAATCTTCCAAGTCATGCTGTTTCAATTTGACCTCTTACTCAGCATCAGTTCCCAATTATGGACTCGAAATTTGAAATCAACTCTGCTTTATGTACTGGCTTCCTCTCCTGTGCTTCCATCTGAAGGCGAGGTAAAGGCCAAGGAGGCAACTGAGGTTCTGCAACCATTTGGGCAAAGCAAGACAACTTTATTTATTCATCTCCTTTCAGCCAAAGACTATTCAAAGTCCTTGTACAAGAAAGTAAAAAACAACATTCAGCAAGAAGATAGTCACAAATAATAATAATAATAATAATAATAATAATAATAATAATAATAATAAAAAATTTAGTAAAAGATCAAGCAGAGTAAAAATAGAGAAAGTAAATTTTAAACATAGTAAACAAGTAGAAGTTAAAAATTAAGAAAAGGCTAATTCAAAGAAGGTTTTAAATAAACTCAAGGTAGGCATAGTCTTACAATGTGATTAGTATTAGTGTAAGCATTAATTCTTTAAGATAACATACAAGTTATACTAATTAATTTCCCAGTGATTGTTGTTATTCTGTTTAACAATATCTTCCTCTCATTCCATTCAATATGTCACTATGTGATCAATTCAGTCTTTATGAGTTCATCCTTAACTTAATTGTGATTGATGAAATTATATTTCATTTAATTAGATTGATATTACTAAAACATTGCAGAATTTCTCTGAGATTGTGAGAACTTTTTATTAGACTTCATCTACATCCTGTCCCATTATTCTGCAGATTAGAAAAATGTTCCAAACCTCTGAAAGAAAATCCAACAGTGACACCTAGTGGTTATAAAACGGATGACAGCAACCTCTTGTTTCTTCCTTTCTTTCTTCCTTTCTTTCTTTCTTTCTTTCTTGCTTTGTTTCTTTCTTTCTTTCTTTCTTTGTTTCTTTCTTCTTTCTTTCTATCTTTCTTTCTTTCTTCTCTCTTTCCTTTTCTTTCTTTGTTTTGTTCTTTTTTTTTCTCATTGTTTGTGGTCAAACTCAGTGCATCTGTTTTCACCTCCTTATTTATTATTAAATAGCACAAAATGCTGACTAATAATTGTATCAATTAATTCATTATGCAAAGCTGCAGTGTTTAAACTACATTTTAAAGACTTAAGTTAAATGTTATGTATTGAGTGAAGCCATAAGCTTCATACAAAAATACCTCTAACAGATTTCACTTGAACATTTTTCATTCCCCAGTTTCTAAAGATTGAATTTGTCTGATTTTCTGCAGTTTATGTGCAGAAATCTTTTGCGCAAACATGTGATAAGTAATAACAGACACATCTTAGCAATATTAAAATGTCAATGTTTTTAAAACCTACCTGTCAATATCAGACATACACTTTTTCTGCTCTTGGATGGGAACCTTTTTAACTTTTTACAAGTTTTTAGTAAGAAAAACAAAAAGTTTCAACCGTTCAGCATGACCTCCAGTGAAATATGATAAAGCTGAATGATAAGCAAACAGATTTTATCCTCAGAGCTTCTTAGTTCATGACCTTGACCTGAAAACGTTCCTGGAGTCTTAAACATTTACAGCCCACAGCAACATATTAAAGCACAACCTGCATATGCAGCTCAGGAAACTCATGAAAACCTTCATAGATGACATACTACACATTTATATTTCATCCTTTTTCTTTTTACATTGATGAATTTGATATCTGATATGGTCCCACAACATGCCTGATATAAGATGAGAGTTTTTTTTGTCAATCTTAATTGCTCTACATTGACACACGGCTGTAGCAAAATGTTCAGATGGAACACAGGTAAATATGTCAGGCTATCCTACAGAGATCTTTCAAGATCATTTACAGAATTAGATTCTTTTGGTCTCGACACACAAGAGGCAACATCAACCTGTTCATTTATGCAAAGAGGAGAAAATTGCCTGTCCCTCTCCAGCCAAGTGAATGGAAAATTTGTACATGTGGATTTTCATGCTTGTATTCATAAACATGCACACACACTTCCCAGTGATAACACAAGTGATAGATATTTTCTCAACCTACATAAAAAGAGTTTATGAGTTTTCAATCAAGTCTTTAGCAAAGGTAGAAGACATAGCAAACCACTTCTTCAAGGTGTCTGCCATGCATTCTGACTTTCTGCATCAGAATTGGTCTTTTATTACAAAGCATAGTAGGAAAGGAAAGTGGATGAATGACAAAGGAAGATCTACACACAGGCCGTTTAAGGAGTATCCTAAGATAAGAAGCAGCTGCTGCTTCAAGGTCTAACAAGTTCCTTCTCTCTGGGATGTGAACACTACATCTATGAATGAAAAACCAACTAGTAAAACAACAAATGTAAGAATCATAACAAAACATAATCATTCTAACAACAAGAAAGCAGAAAAATAAATTTTGTTGCTGTTGTTACTTCCTGGTTTGTATGGATCTTTGTAACTTTGCCTTGTTTAAAATAACATTCTAATTTCTTCAGATAAATTTGTATCCTGTGACTTTTCAGTGAAACTTCTCACAAAGGACTTAAAACATCACAACTCAGAACACAAAAACAGGAAATGAATTAATCAGGACAGGAAGTACAAGCTAAATCCTTTTCCACAAAACTTTATCAGTGAAAATAATCCCTTACACTGAAGTCATAAAACACAAATCACGTCTTTGCTTGGATTTCCCTGGAACATTGTCCTGTTATCAGTGTATTATTGACAGGTGTATTTCGTGGTCCTCCAGTGACTGTATATAAGAGCAGCTGTTTCCAGACAGAAGAGCTGAAGCTTGTCTGACGCTGAAGTGAAGGAAAAAAGGTAATTTTGACTCTGCTTTGGTAAAAAGCTTTTATCTAACTTCAATTATTTCTGCATTGAGCTGAGACTGTTTGTGTTTTTGAAGGTGATCTTCAATCTGCATCATGATGACTCTGAATGTGCTGATGCTTCTTTGTGCCTTGACGGCTCTGAGTCAAGCTGCAGGTGAGTTTCTCTGACTTGCTGTCGATTCACATTAAGGGAGACATTTATTTAGAATCAGAAGGAGATAAAACTGTTTGTGTTTTATCCAGTAAGCTAAAAAAAACTGTTACTGATAACGATTCTTCATTTCTACAGTCTACAGTAATAACAAGAAATCTTTCAAAAACCTATAAATAAATAGATATAAATCCTTGAATGTTTTATAATTGTAAAGATATTCAGTGAACACAACCTGTACCTTTCCCAGGTGCCAGTGAAGAAACTAACATTGAGGAAACTTTTATGAAGGTATGTTCATGGGGTTTATTTTCAAATGCGTCAATTTTACTTAAAATGAGTCAAATTAATTATTTAGGGGATAAAGTCTAACTCTGACCTTTGCTAAACTAATCTCTTCTTCCTGATGCTGAAGCTGGAAACTGGACAGATTCAGCAGGTCAGCAACTTTTTCACCTCATTTTAGATATATTTGTTATTCTCTGCTATATTAAGATTAAAATAATGTTAGGCTTATTTTTTGTATATATTTTAGATGTAGAAAATGAACCAGAAGTGGAGGAGGCTGCTCCAGAGGGTGAGTTAAAGTTTCCATTAATATCTCTGATTTTACCCCTGGAATTACTTCCATCTACAGAAACTCTGAACTGTTGTCAGTCACTAACAGTCAATGTGGTCAACAACTTTGAATAATTTTGTTTCTCTCTACTCCAAAGAAAAATGGGAAATAAATATTTACATCTTTGATAAATTTGGGATCATCTCTGGCAGAAGAAAGTAGAAGAAAATTATAGCCTAAGAAAAACTTTTATACTGCTGGAGTAATACATCTCATCCATATGACTTCATACCTTCCTTGTAGATTTTGGGTCTGGTGAATTATTTCTGTAATATTGTTGCATGCTATGGAGAATAATTTTGTTAAAAGATGCAATTATGAACTATTGTCAGTTTACTGAGTTCCACAGCATCATAGATCCTCCTCCATGCTTACATTTTCCTTGTTTTAGCTCATATATGTTGGAGAGTTGTAGCTTTGAGCCCAGTTGAGTTTAATAAACTCCATGTTAGGATGTTGTTACTCTGTCATTATGAAGTGTAATAAATATCTTTCTTTGTACATTATGTCTGGAATATGATGATCTATGTGAAGAGTTGGGCTGAGTCTGCATCTGTTTGTCTGCAGAAGCAAATAATCTGTTTAGGAGTTATTGTCCTGCTGGTTGGAGCCAGTTCAACCGTCGCTGCTTCATCTTCATCCCAAGAACCATGAGTTGGGCGATGGCCCAGGTGATCTGAGTCTAAATGTTTCCTTAAACATTTTCTGATACGGTTTATCATTCCTGCTTTAACTCATGAACTCTCTGTTTGTCTCGGCTGCAGAGAAACTGTGTGTCTTTGCAGGGAACCCTTGCATCCGTCCACAGCTTTCAGGAGTACCATTTCATTCAGAGGGTGATAACAGCTGCAACTCACAGATCACCAGAAACATGGATTGGAGGCTCTGATGCTCAGGAGGTAATTTCACCCAGGATTAAAGGACTGTCAGGTAATCTGTGAAATTGATTTTCACATTTATAATTTGTTAAATTCCAGGAGGGCGTTTGGCTGTGGAGCGATGGGAGACCCTTCTTCTACTCAAACTGGTGCAGTGGAGAGCCAAATAATTACAGAGACCAGGATTGCCTTCAAATGAACTATGGAGGTGAATAAAATTAATTTCCACATGAGGTTTATGATGCCTGGCATCTGGTGGATGGTAAAAAATGACCCATTTTGGATGAGCTGTGCAGAAAGCTTCACAGCTTTGCTTTGAGTGATGTTTCAGTGACTGTTGTTGTTTCTTGCAGGATCCAAGTGCTGGGATGACGTGTGGTGCAACAATCATCGTCCTTCAGTCTGTGCCAAAAACATCTGAGGTCACAGCGACACAAATCCAACAAACAGGACTGGATGTCTTGTTATGTGTCTCTGCTTTTACATTTTAAAGATCAAACTTGATTCAAAATTGAAAACGTTTTAAATGATTTTCTATGTATGACAATTAAATAATCAAGAATCAACTTGTATTTGTATCTAAAACAGACCTATATGTATTTGTATTTGTGTCATTATGTCTCATGTTTCTGGTATGTATTTTAGAAATAAAACCTTTGGCTGCACTGTACATTATAGAAGCGTTTTTAATTAGCATGTTTGTTTTTTTTTCTTTTCTTGAAATAAAAATGACTCTCAAGTCTTGTTGAGCTCCTTTTGTATAACTTTACAGTGATGTCTCTCATCTACTGGCTGTTGGCTTTGATAAATAGATAATGATAATGGATTCTACGTCCTAGACTGAAATGAATAAAGTAATGAGCCATTTGGGCTCAAGATTTAAGAAGCATTGGGTTTTCCTATTTCTGCTGCCGAATTTTAATCTTGTATTTTATTTATTTTATCAGGAATAAATGTTTTATAATAATTTAAACATCAAAGTGGATGGATGTTTAAATTTGAGGTTTAAAGAAAAATGTGAACTGTTTTTTCTGTTGTTGAACGAAGCTACAAATGAATAAATATACATTTATTAACGTATTATAAATTTTTCTGCATCTAATCCACTCTAATTTTACTAGTTGGGCGTTTATTCAGAGTTACTTACGTCATTTAAACTCATGATCAAATGTTCAGGAAGTTAAGCTTAAAAAAATAGTGGAATATTAGCATGATGGGACCCATATCATCTGTCACCGCTGGTGTCAGATGAGATCTGACACACCTTGGTGTCACATATCATGTCATTGGTTTGTTCACACTAATGGTGCCATCCCATATCATCTGACACCACTGGGTGCTCCAGTGTTGCAGTTAAATAAATACTGCTTGTACGAAAATGTCAACACTTTTCCAGTAACCTGTCTTGGGACTGTTTGACAAGCATTGTGGTTTTCTGTTATTACACTGCCAAGTTCCTGCATGTAGAATTTGCTTTAAATAATGATGAAAAAAGTCTTCAGTGAGTGACGAAACTTAAACATTAAAGATTAAAGATTAAACATCAGCTTCATTATTTTTGTAGATAGTATAATTATGGCTTTTGTGTTTGGGGTGATGTTTGTGTGTTGGATGGGAAAGCCATGTGGGGGAATTCATGTTGAGGCTTGTTACACTGCATTATGTAATAATGTAATAAAATTGAGTTTCATAATTATTATATTATTATAATTAAACACATTCGTCTTTGTATTCAAATAGTGACTCAAGAAGAGCCTTTGCATTGAGATCATCAACCATTTCAGATTTTACGTACTTTCTTAAACTCTCAAATATTAAGTGCTCTTATAAGGGCAAATTTTTTCAACAAAGCTGATGGAAGAGCTGCAGAAACATATTAAGGAAAATTCTGCTTTGACTCTCATAAAACAGTAAATGGTTGCAAATCATTAATTGAATTGATTTTGCTATGGATGAATTTGAGGTGGGGTGAGGTGAGGTGAGTTGGGGTGAGGTGGGGTGAGGTGAGGTGAGGTGGGGTGGGGTGAGGTGGGGTGAGGTGAGTTGGGGTGAGGTGAGGTGAGGTGGGGTGAGGTGGGGTGAGGTGAGTTGGGGGTGGGGTGAGGTGAGGTGGGGTGAGGTGGGGTGAGGTGAGGTGAGGTGAGTTGGGGTGAGGTGAGGTGAGGTGGGGTGAGGTGGGGTGAGGTGAGATGGGGTGAGGTGGGGTGAGGTGAGGTGGGGTGAGGTGAGGTGGGGTGAGGTGGGGTGAGGTGAGATGGGGTGAGGTGGGGTGGGGTGAGGTGGGGTGGGGTGAGGTGAGGTGGGGTGAGGTGAGGTGGGGTGAGTTGGGGTGAGGTGAGGTGGGGGGGTGAGGTGAGGTGAGTGGGGGTGGGGTGAGGTGAGGTGAGGTGGGGTGAGGTGAGGTGAGGTGAGGGGAGGTGGGGTGAGGTGAGGTGGGGTGGTGAGGTGGGGTGAGGTGAGGTGAGGTGGGTGAGGTGGGTGAGGTGAGTTGGGGTGAGGTGAGGTGGGGTGAGGTGAGGTGAGTGGGGTGAGGTGAGGTGGGGTGAGGTGAGTGGGGTGAGGTGGGTGAGGTGGGTGGGGTGAGTTGGGGTGAGGAGGTGGGGTGAGGTGGGGGGGTGAGGTGAGATGGGGTGAGGTGGGGTGAGGTGAGGTGGGGGGGTGAGTTGGGGTGAGGTGAGGTGAGGGGGGTGAGGTGAGGTGGGGTGAGGTGAGATGGGGTGAGGTGGGGTGAGGTGAGGTGGGGTGGGGTGAGTTGGGGTGAGGTGAGGTGAGGTGGGTGAGGTGAGGTGGGGTGAGGTGAGGTGGGGTGAGGTGAGTTGGGGTGAGGTGAGGTGGGGTGAGGTGGGGTGAGGTGAGTTGGGGCTGCTATCATCCATTCATTCAACCGTCCAAAATTCATGCAAGCAACATCTCCAGTTATATTATTGCGTCATGGGTTCATTCATTTTGGTTTATAGTTTCCAAAAATGTTCTCCTGTTCAACAATTTGATGGTAATGGTTTATTTTTCACGGTTTTTACACCTTTGAAGCTATTGTAGAAATATTGAATTACTTCACAACACATTGACAACCTAACTTTAACTGTTAGGACATACAGTCATCTGCAATAGCTCTGAACATGGAAGTTTGTCAGGTCAAATGCAAATATTCAAATTTACGTTTATTAATAAATCATTTCTCTACTGATATTTTTATGTTCTGATGCAATATTTACATTTTAAATATTGAGTTTCTGTTGGGGAAGGAGCCTCAGCTGTCAGTCTCACCTCAACTGTTTTTTTATGACTTGGATTGTTTACAATGCTCTGCATACACATCTATTATAACTGCAGTTATAATTGTTTTAATTTATTTATGAATATTTTTTTAATCACTAAGCAGCCAAAGCCCTGCAAAGACCTGTTGTAATACCTACTTTTATTACTCATGCATTATAATCATGTTAAAAAAGTTTCACCATGAATTCCTCAAGAATCCTCCGCATTAACTTTACTTCATCAGACGGGGATAGAAAGTGATAAACTTGTGTAGCTTTCCAAGATCTGCAGAAAAGTCTCTTTCATCCATGATCTACATTAAACAGGAAGTCCACCATCTTGGATTGAAGTTGTGACTTTGATCTCATTTAACTCATCCTGCAGACTCTGGTTGATCGGCTTTGTCCAGTTTGCTCATAGGGCATGGGGGATTTAAACTTATCAAAACTGAGTTTTCCAGCATGCTGAAGAAATGCAAGGCACATCATGCCTCAGGTACTGACACCTTTCAGTGGATAGTGTGAGTGTAGCAGCGTGACAAAGTCGGACATAATGGCATGCAACAGCAAGATGTTTGATCGGCTGAATTTGGTTCCAGTCGATATGAAATACATTAGATATGATCAATATGATCAATTCTAATCCAATCCCCATCAGGATGCTGGCCAATGTTTTGCTGGTGTATGGCATGTTGGTGTTGGGTCAGATGTCTTCCAGGATACAGATGTATTGACTAAATGGCCTGATGAAAACACTGAGTAAATATGTCTATTAGAAAAGATACAATATTTTTAGAAGCCAGGCATAAATATTGTTTGCTCACATCTTCTTTGAGTTCACTGGTGTTCTATTTCATCCACACCTTAGTCCAGATCCTGGATCGAGTATTTGCTCTGTAAAATGAAGAAACCAAGCTCATGTTTTTCATCAGGTGATGTTTGATTTAGATTCCTGATCATCAAGGTGAGGTGACACATCAGCAGGTATAAATAACGGAGTCTGAACGTCGGAGACACAGAGAGAAGCAGAAGTTTGGAATCAAGTTCATTCCAGCTGCAGGTGAGAGATGAACACATGAATTCATTTACACTGAGTTTGTCCACTAAAGTTTCTCTATGTTTTACATTAACAGGGAATTTCATTGTGCTGCAAGTCAAACTCCAGATTTTCATCAAGTTTGATCAATTTATCCAGATCAACAGTAAAGATGAAGGTAAGCCTGTAAATTGCACTGTAAAAAAATAAAAAATAATTCATCTATCTTTATTTATTTTAACAAGGAAAGGTATTTTAATGTTTAAAATCTTGTTAACAACAAATGACCAAAATAAAAATCAGCACAGAGACATTGTACATAAAATGTACAAATTATGAAACATCAATAATGATTAGAATATGAACACAACAACAACAAGATATTTAACTATGTAGTCAAAAAATTTAAAAATTAAACAACTTCTAGTGAGTTTGTTAATTATTTAAAATGTTTGATATTTTGTTCAGTCACTGAAATGTTGAGTAATTTGAGTGTTTAAATTTATCCAAACACTCAATGCATGTAAACACTGTACATAGTTTTGGCTCTGGAAATAACATTTGTTAACAGGACTGATGAAATGTTGTTAAAAAATGGAGGGTCAAACCAACCAGAAACCTTTGTTAAGGCAGAATTCAGCATAATTCTGACTGAAAATCTGGCAGCACAGCTTACAGGCCACATGCAGGACAATATCAGGGATCAGGTTTAATCTGACTAAATGAACATTAATCAGAGTTTCTCTGATGATGTTCAGAAGGTGTCATGTTCTGTCTTCCAGCTGTTATCACTTCTCTTCCTCCTGGCTCCACTGCTGATCAGCTGTGAAGCGGCTGACAACAAACTGCCACGTGATTGTAATGACATCTACAATAAGAACAATAATCTTCGCAGTGGAGTTTACATCATCTATCCAACTGGATATTCATCTGCTGTTAAGGTGAACTTTATGTTTGGTTTGTTCATAAAAATGAAGATCCAGATTAAAGTTCTGTGCAGGACCAAGACTGGAGGTTTATCTGTTAACAATGCTGAGGATGTTTTTACTTAATCTTCATACACATTACATAAACTGACTATTTGAAACTGAACTTTCTTGATAGTATTTATTTTTCCACATAAAGTGTGACATTGCATTACATAATAAAAACTGCATCAAGTCATGAATGTGTTTGTGTGAAGGCTTACTGCGACATGGACTCAGAGGGAGGACGCTGGACGGTGAGTCCATCTCTACATGAACTCTCTCTGTTTACACTTCAACTTGGTTTATCTCAGGATTCTTGGGGGATTTCATCCAACAAACATCAAGTTCTGTTGAAAGAAGAGTCTTTATTGTCCTTCCATTTTCACCTGCCTGAGATAAGATTTGATCAGTTTTATCATGTTAAATATTGATTATTGATACCAATTCAGAGTTGGTACAAGCCACTTCCTTTTCACCCTGAGTGTGTCAGTGAGAATGTTGTTCACTTCTTGATCAGATTCCTTTGTTGTTCCAGGTTTTCCAGAGGAGGATGGATGGCTCTGTAAACTTCTACAGACCCTGGGCGGAGTACAAGAGAGGCTTTGGAAACGCTGCTGGAGAGTACTGGCTGGGTGAGACACCGACCTAAACAGTTAGTCAATGTGTGGTTGGTTTATTTATTTAAGATTTTTATAACAGTTATAACTCACTTCCTGCAAACCCAGATTAACCAGGTGTTTAATGATCTCAGTAAAATCTAAATTTAATAGTTTCCATGTCTGTGCAGTCTTGATAACATCCATGAACTGACACAAAATCACATTAAAGCTGCAAGCAGCCTCGAGCGGCCCTCGCAGCCAAGCGCCGCTCCGGCCTATTGCCACCGCAGGGTACTAGCAACCGCCGCCTGACGCCAGCCACCACAGATACTCTCACGCGGTTTTCAGCACCTCCGCCCGCACCGCGGAAACTGTTGCTCCGTTCCATCAACGCTCCCCACGTTCTAACACAGAAGTCGTTGCGCGGTTTCCGCGCCCGTCCACCAGGCGGTACGCATCGATGCGTTCGGCGGCACTTCCTGACGACGCACAAAAAATGTGGTGCAGATTCGTTGATATAGCGAGGAGATATAGCTGGCGTATTAATGTAGTTGGCGCAGTGGAGTCAAAATACATTTCAATGTTGTTGGGGTGTTTAGAGGTCAACAAAGGTCATACATATTCAATTTGGCGCCAGTCGGATGATCAACGTATCATTTAGAGCCTATCATATGCACATGGTGAAGAACTGCAGTTCGCCATTTCTACACCCCAATGCGGTTTGGTCAGCTGCCAGCATTCACAGAGTTCATCATGTTATCGTTTTTAGTAAGTATTCACATGATGAAACCCATATATGATAGAATAACAGTAAAACTCACAGGAGAAAAAACTGGTGATTGCCTTTGAAAAGTGGGCGGGGCTAGGGTGATTTCATCAAGTGACCATGGAAATGTGTTCAGGACTGTTCTATAGAGAAACACAGGAAGTGTGATGCAGCTGTGATCTTGCATTTGGAAGTTTTTTTAATGTTTATGTTTCATGGCAAATAGTGAAAGTTTTACACTAAGCCACACCCACATGCTTTGATGTTAACTGCAACTGAGATCTAAATGCAGTGCAACTTTAACATTTTCCTAAAATGAGTCAGGAAAATGGTAAAGGTTAAGATGTATCAGTTTAATAAACCCTTCTGGTCAGTAATAAACAAAGGGCAATGCACATTCAGAGAGCACAGTTAACTTTCAGTACATTAGAACAAAAGCACAGGTTTAATCCCTCTCAATAATTAGGTATTAATCACAGCAAGTGGTCCAAGTAAATATTACAACCCCAATGGATCAGTCTTAGAACTCAGAACGTTGTAAGATTGTCGCTCCCAACAATCGTAACCGATCATCCTGTAGTGTGTGGTGTGTTACGACTGATCGAGTTCAGTCGGTGGAACGTCGGACCGCTTTCATCTAAAATCGGGGATATTGAATGTGTTTAATCATCTTTGCTCATTCATCCAATCTCTGTGGTGTTCCTCCGACTTTTTTTATCTTTTAATGAAAGATAATTATAAAATTATTGCACAGAGTACATCTGGTTGAAAAGCGCATTCCAATCTTTGGTTGAAATGGCGCATTTGATTTTATTCTGCAGTCATAATACAATTTTAAACAATATAATAAGTTTCAATTAAGGATCTGGAATAGGCTACGTTAAGCTTTCGCGGTCAGTTGGGGGGGGAAAAGGATAACTCCCATTTGATTTTCTAAAAATGAATATGCAGGAAATGCTTTCTACTACCTTAAACTGCTCTGATGTTTCAGTCATTCTGTTTTAAATGCATAGATTCTACAACAACATAAACACAGCAAAAAATTATAAAATTGTACGTAAACGATTAATTAAATGACAAAAACCGAAAACTTAAAAACAGTATTTTTATGAAAAAAAAAAAAACTCACCTCCATGTTGCGATTCAACTAATATAATCCTTGCTTACGATATCTCCAGATCTTAATCCAAAGCTTTGATTTTTGGTTACGTCTTTTTTGGGTTAAAATAAGTCCCGCAAACTAAAGTTAC